TGAATGGAAAAAGAGGGGGCGTTTGCCAAAGGAGGAAAGAGAGGCGGATGGATAGCGGACAGAAACGGTGTTGGGATATTGACGTTAAAGATGATGATACTCGATTTTGTATCCATACATACATACATACCTATTGTAGTTGGTACTAAATTACGGCACTTGAGAGATCCGTCTATAGGATCTATCACACCATAACTGAAGATACAAGCATAGGTACCGGTAGTAGGTAGGTATGTATGTGCGAAGGGGAAATCGTAGATATGGGTACCTAACAAAGCGCTCTATTCATCAACAGAGTACCAACACCAACGTAGGGCCCTGGGTTACCAAGTCAGCATTTAATCAGTCCGTCCAGCCGCAGCCGCAGCCGCAGCCACGGTCACGTCTAACAGCATTATCCCATGTCATCCGTCCATCATCTCTCATCATCATCATCATCTTCAACAAGCCCAGTTCTCATCGATCAACGTCATTCATCTGCTTCTAAGATAGTATGGTACAGTACATAAACCAGCCTCATGTCGACCTCATGTCAGGTCCACGATCGGGTTCAATGTTGGGAAGGGGGGAGTTAAGGAGGAGGAAGGTATGTGAGATTTTATATTGCGGTGGAACAAAAAGTCTAGACGCTCAAGTGTGTTTTTATAACGACGATGACAGAAGATATTTAGTTGGCATCGGGCTGGCTGAGGATGTACTCGACGGCCTTGTCGACGGAGTGGATCTGGTCGGCGTCCTTGTCGGGGATCTCGATGGAGAACTCCTGTTGTTGGGAAGGGTTGTCAGTCATCAGTTGAATTCGTGTGTTAATCTGTTACTGTATATGAAAGGGGGGGGGGAGGATGATGTGATGGAGGCAGAACGGAATCCGGAAAGGAAATGATACGGGCCAGCGAGCAACTGCTTGATGCCCTGAACCCAACCTTAGTCCGACCGAGGACATTGCTTCCTTTCAGCGCACCACACGCCAGCCCAAGCCTAACCGTAGATTGAGGCGAAAGGGGGCAAGTCCGTGACTCCGAAACGGAGTGGTTTGACAAGAGATGGATCGAGATAAGGACAAGGAAAACCAAATAACATACCTCCTCAATAGCCATAACAACCTCAACGGTGTCCAAGGAGTCAAGACCAAGGTCGTTGGCGAAGTGGGCGGTCTCGGTGATCTGTGATTTGCGCAAGCCTGTGTCAGAATCTCTCTCATGTCTGTCTGTGTCTCTGATGTCTCGTTTGATCGCATCTGTCGAAGTGGGGATCGGTCCTCTCGTGCTTCCGTCCGAACATCAAGCCGGGAACGCATGGGACCGGAGCTGGGCCATCGAGGTTGATCATCGCAGCGAGATATCGCGCCAAGGGTCGTCGTTCCCAAAGCAGCGAGTGAGGTTGGAGGTGGTGGTTGGCATCTGGTACTTACGTTCTTGGGGTCGTTGACCTGGAGAGGAGACGTTAGCTTAGTTCTGATAACAGCTGTGAAGATGGGACTGGAGATCAAGGAAGCGAGGGAATCCATCAAGAAGAGAGAAGAGGCAGACGAGGGAAGACAGAGTTGGCTGCGAAGATGGCAAGAGGAGGAGAGCCAAGAATCGAGGCGAGAGCATCGTCGAGTAGACCTAGCCGGCCACGCAACCTATCTGAAGAGCTTCCAAGGTACCGATAACGCCGGCAAAGCATGGCGTGCACGGCGCGTATTTGCTCTTCGATGTTCTCCTCCTCTTGTCGAGAGCTCCCATTGTATCCGCGCAGCCTTGTGCTTTTCGCATCTCCTTGTCCCTCCTCTTTCAGGTTCGTTGCCGGCCTCGTTTGCCTGTGATGATGCTCTCCCATTTGCATCTTCCTCTTTATCTCTGCAGTAGCGTGCGTGGCGTGCGAAGCGTATGGCCCTCGACCTCTCACCCTCCTCCTCCTCTTCCTCCTCTCTGTCCTTTTCCCTTCATTCCCTCCCTCTTCCCTCTCCTCATGTTCCGTGTATATTCTGTGCTGTCTCGCTGTGAGGCTGTGATGTAAACGCACCTTGTCAAATCCACTCAACACCTGCGCAATCCTGGAAAAGACCTCATCCTTGTGGAGGTGACCACCGGCAGAGTAAAACCTGACAGCCTGGAAGGCAGCGACCTTGGGGACGGGGCGGGCAACACCGGCGACGCGGACGGCGGAGGCGACGGCGGGACGGGCCACGCGGCGGGCGGCAGTGAGGGCGGCGGTGCGGAACATTATGGCTTTTGTGTTTATTTGGATATTGTCGCGAAAGTCAATTGCGCAAGGTCGAGGTTGTCGAGGTTTGTGGTGGTGGCCGAAAATGAGTGACGCTACTTCTCGGGGACGAAGGTTGTGTTGGTGGTGGTGGTGGATTTCTGGGCAAGGTGGTTGGCTGGAATCACACACTGGTGCGGGCGGGCGATGATGATGATAAATTTCTCGCCTACCACACTCAGAAACCACCACCGTAGCCGGGCGCGGGAAGCGGGTGCGGGCGGCACCCACCACCAGAAGCTAGCAAAGGAAGCTCCAGCGCAAGGTACCTCCGTACCTTCAATTGCCCGCATCCCCGCAAGCCATGGAAGCTTCTGGGGTCACGTGCAAGCCCTCTTCTCTGTAACTTTTTGTACCGCCCGGCCTGCGGAACATGGAATTCCACTGCGGAGAAAATGTGTCAAGCAGATACTCCACTAACACCCCACGGGCAGAATCACTCCACTCGGATGTTAGGCGGGTAATCCTGGTCTTGGATGGAGACGAGAGAATGGAGTTCATGACGATGCAGCTTTGTATCTTACAGATGTGGTAATTGTACATTCAGCCTTGTGTCTCTTCGAGGAAGAAAAGCAAAAAGCCCCTCTCCAACTGTTTATACACGCAAGGAAAAGTCGAAATGAAAATGAGAAAGCTTTTGGTCTGACCGCAAACGTATCTACAACCTTGCCTGCCTTCTATAACAAATGGTGCGTCCTGTTGATACCGCAACCCGTCCGAAACTGCTGGTCCCGAAGCTCTAGCATAGCAAAACATCATATCCGTCCTGTTGTCCGGTTGTCAAACCGTGAGCCCTTTAGCGATAAGGAGCATCAGCCCTAATGGCAGCAGCCAGCTCAGGCTCCCACTTGTCTCCGTTGGCAAGTAGCTTCTCTGTATCTGATGTCAGCATCTCCCATTTCTTTCCATCACCCATCCCCAATAACCATCACCACCCGGGACACAAAAACTTAACTCACCCTTATTATACAACAACTCCTCCCTCGTCTCCGTCGCATACTCGGCGTTTCCGCTCTCCACAATCGCATCCACAGGACAAGACTCCTGGCAGAACCCGCAGTAGATGCACTTGGTCATGTCAATGTCGTAGCGGGTAGTCCTTCTGCTGCCGTCGGCGCGCTCCTCGGCCTCGATGGTGATGGCTTGAGCAGGGCAGACGGCCTCGCACAGCTTGCAGGCGATGCAGCGCTCTTCGCCCGAGGGGTAGCGGCGGAGGGCGTGCTCGCCGCGGAAGCGAGGCGAGATGGGACCTTTTTCGAAGGGGTAGTAGATTGTGTAGCTGTGTCAAGTGTTAGTAGGAGATTGGGTTTGGGTAGGTTCTGTTGATGCTACTAGGTTGGTGGTGATCGATGGTTGTGGTTGTGGTGATGATACGCAGCACAGTACGAGCGCGCTTAACAGGATCCAAGCCGCAGAGCCGCAACCCATAAAGACTCCAGTTGCGCGAGTCATGATACTTGTCGTGTCGTGGATCGTGTCCACTTGACTTGCCCATCGCATATCCCACCAGCAAACCGAAACAATCTCTTCCCATTGTAACCTTCTTTCCCTTCCTCCTCCTCTTGCCATCATCACCACCCCCTCAACTCCCCACCAGCACCAGCATCACCGTAACCCAAACGAAAAGAAGAAAGGGACAAAACTTACGGCGGCCTAAAAAACTGCTCCATAGCCACGTACATGCCCCTAAACATCTCCGTCAACAAGAAATACCGTCCGCTCTTGTCCATCACATGTTCCTCCTCCTGATCCCACGTCTTGGGCGTCGGGATGCGGAAGCCCTTGGGCGGAGGACCGGCCGGCGTCGCGTAGGTGCGGCGGATGGCTCCTTGCGTAACAAAAGCTGGAGTAATAATGGCAGCGACGGGTCGGCGGGTGGTGGTGGTGGTGGTGAGTTTACGCGCGGCGGCCTGGAGGGCCTTTGAGGAGGTAGAGGGGGTGAGCATTGTTGCGTTTGAAGATGGTGGTGGGTATTATGGTAGGTTGGTGGGTGGTGGGTGGTAGAGAGGATGCGATTTGCGCCGGGTGATGGTAGGAAAGGTTGTCGCGACCCTGTGGGTTGATGGGCGAAGGTTAATTACACTGCGACTTGCGACTGTGAACTGCGACTGCGACTGCGACTGCAAGTACTGCCACCACTTCTTCTTGTCAAAATGACCAACCAGTTCGGTCTCAGTTTTCGAGCTTCAACCGATATGACGAACGGAATCAAATCAACACGGCACCATAGACAGACTACCTAGATCAAAAGGCAGTTCACAAGTGGAAGGGAAGCGGAGACAAGAGACAAGAGACAAGAGACAAGCGCACGAACCTAGAATGGAGGCGACAGTTCAGCACAATCCCCGGGCTGGCAGGCTGCTGCGAATGCGATAACTTGACGTCGTCGGTCGTCGAATCGATGCCGATGGATCCCTGGAGTATCGCCGGGCGTCCAGCCTTGGAGCCACTCTGCCACTCTCCCAAGAACCTCAAGCCACAGCAGGAGTGGATTTGATAAGGCTGTGCTTCCATTGGTAGGTTTTTCCTTCTTCCACGTGACCCCTTCCCTTCCCTTCCCAAATTACCTCGAGCTCCCTATCTTATCTCTTACCAACCCCACCAGAGCTCCCCACCGACCCCACTTTTCCCAGCTCCAACTCCCGCCAAAAACCAACCAACCCCTCTTCACCTTCCCCCTGAGCTGGCAAGCTTGCAAGCTTGCATATAACCTTCCGCCCCAGACCAACCAACCAACAATTCCACAAACAAATGTCAGTTTGGCCGAGTGGTTAAGGCGACAGACTTGAATTTAACTCGTTTTCGAGTTGCCTCTTTTCAAGATTATCTGTTGGGTTCGCCCGCGTAGGTTCAAACCCTGCAGCTGACGTTGTGCAACTTCTTTTTTTTTCTTTTCCTGCTTTGATGATTTGCATCTTGGATCATCGTGGGATATGCTTCTTTTTTTTTGCAATGTTTTTTTGGGATTTTGTACTTGCTGTTGTGTTTATATTCATCACCGACCTGATGCACCTTCAGAAGATTGCCATCCGGGAACATGCTATTTTGAGTTTGTGTTCAAAGGTTGTTATTATTGAAAACCTACCTACGAACATCTTCTATATAATATCGAAAGTTTGACACTTCTTCGAGTTGTCCTAGTCAACTCAAAAGTGAGATATCTTCAACCTCAAAACCGCAATTGATACATAAACCACGCCGACTGTGAATCCTTCATCTAAGGAAGCTTTGTGCTCTGACTTCTCTACGACGGTTTGGTCTGTATCATGTGCCTCGTTATCGTTCACCCGTTCACTTTGAAGCACCATGATCACCATACTTGGACACACCCGGTAAAGGGAACCTCTTGAATTCCAGCTCAATCATCAATCATTAATTCATCCATCATACCATGCTACCTCTGACCATGCTACGCTATGGGGTATCTATCTATGCCATGCTGTCTATGTACTGTTACCTCTCTCTCTCACTTTCCAACCCAGATCAAGACCAACCCTCCTCCTCTTCCTGTATCGCTGCTCCATAACCCCGCCCTTACCTTTGTTAATTACCCTCTCCAAGGCATCAGGCTGGCTACGACATCCGACACCTGTCCCTTTTCCTCATCTTTCCTCTACCAAAGGTGGTCCCCATACCTGTAGTACCTCTACCGCCCAGCACCTCGCCCTTAGAGTTGTCATCCTAAAACCTCTTCTCCCAGGTATTCCACCAAACACCCATGTTAGCCGCCACCACCAAGTCCAACATTTTCAACCCCTCATCGTGGATAATCAGCTTCCCCAGCTTCGCTCTCTTCCCCCTGCTTCCTCCGCCCGCATCTTCCCTCCCTAGCGCCAAGTCCATAGGGTCTTCATCTTCAAAGTATTCCTCTTCCGAACTAGGCGGTTCCAGCCCCAGAAACTTGGAGAAGCGATGCCTCTTGCTTCCTGTGGCGTGACCTTGGGCGCCGTTCTCGCCAGCACCGCCGGCACCAGGAGAGCGAGGTTCAGACGGAAGGTTGAAGCGCAGTTCGGAAACGGGTTTGGCACCGGTTATGGCGGATGTGATGCTGTCGCCGCGCGACTGACCGATGGTCGGTGCGTCGCGGACCGATTGAGCGAGTTTGGCCGGGTCAAGTTGTGAAAGCTGGTTGAATCCGCCCGTGTTCTCGTCGAGAATGTGTCGGCACTTGAGGGAACGGCCGGTAGAGCCCGTACGGAATTCACATCTGCCTAGCCAAGGGGAGAGGAAGACGTAGCCCTTTGGACGGAGGTTGGGGCCTGGCTGGGTTATGAGTTGGCCACCGCCTGCAGAATCCTGACGATTATGGTTGGGTGGAGGAGACTGCGGGTTGTATTGATGCTCATTCGGCGAAAGGTCAGCAGAGCCGATGGTTGAGGAGCTTCCGTGGCGGGTATGACCTGGGATATCGCCGGCGGTGGCGGAGGCAGTGCTGGCTGAGCGAGAGTGACGCTTGAAAGCCCCCTTGATGCCGGACGTCCAGGACTTGGTGTATGCCATGACTACCTGGCGGTGGAAGCCTTCCTCAACTTCGTGGTGTGCTACACCCATAATTTGCTTTTGCGGGCTCCCGATGGTCCCCAGACTTCCCACACTCTCAAGCCCGCTTGCACTGCCCGAAGTCGACAAGCTTTGTAGCGTCCTGGCGAAGGACTGGGGAGACGTTGGTCGTAACGCCTCAATGTTTGCGCGGCTCGGCATTCCCCTGTACTTGGCATATCCCGATGTCTCCAAGTGGATGTCGATCAACTGCGTCGCAATCGGCGGAGGTTGTTCGGCGGTTGAAGCATCGTCACCAAGATCCGGATGCGCAGACTCGGGAGTAGGTATGTTTGTCTCAAACGAAGAGATCTTGCCCACGTTCCACTGGAGGTTGGTCGAAGGATCCCGTCGGATGAGCGTCAGTGTGAAAGGGATTGTTGCTGCCAGTTTCGAGTTGCTGGGTGCGCGAGCACGGTTGGTTGTTGACGGGGAGAGGATCCCATCGCCGGGCCGAGGGACGTTCGAAGTGGGAGCGTATAGTGTTTGATCGGTAGGTGTGATGGGTCGGTTGCTTGTTGGGACAGAGCCAGGGCTAATGGCCGGCTCCTCCGGGATCGTCAAAGCGGTCTGTGGTCGTGGGCCAAAAGGGCGACGCAGGGCAGCCAGGTTCTCGGCCGGCTGGGGTGCCGGTCTCGAAGGCGGTTCGGGACCTGGGCTGGGCTGGAACATGGGGTTTGGCCTGTATCCATCATTCCCAGCAGCAGGCTCCTGAGCAGCTACAGCCCGCTCAGCCCGCTCAGCCCTCTCCGAACCTGGTGCCCGTGGACGCCTAACTGACCCCATTCGTCTAACAGAAGGCGACCTGGTTGGCACCGGCCCTGTATTCTTTGGTACATTGTTCTCGGTCTGGGTCGCCGGCACGTTTGTAGACGGTTGTCTCGGAGTCGGAATCTCGACGCGGGCACTAGGCGGTAACGGTTTCCGGGGAATCACACTTCTCGCGCTCTCACCACTAGTTCGAGGCGAAGTGGCAGTGGATGTCTCGTTCGGTCGGGCGTTTTCGACTAGCAGCTCGTCCGTAGGCTGGTCAAGATGTATCAGGTAAAGAGCATTATTAATGTCTTCTACCGTCACGTTCTTGCGCTGCGGACGGAAGGGCGAGAGAATGACATCTGTTGTCGTAGGTTTGTTTAGCGAGAGACCGGGAACTAGTTGGTATTTACCAGAGACATACCTCGACTACCGGGAACTCGCGAAATGTACAAGATCAAGGACTCCTTGACATCGGCGCTGTGGGGGTATTGTGGTGGATTGGCGGCGAGGGAGTTGAGTGTCGAGAGAGACCTCGCTTCCACGTGCGGTCTGGCGGCCATGTGCGGTATGGATGCGACGCGATATGATGCGGTTCGAGAGATGTTGTGTATATTGGATAATGTGGATGTATGCCAGCTCTTGTATCCCAAACTAGTTGTGGCAGTAGTATCTTGCTTGCCTGCCAGCAGGACAAGTGTTGCCGTCGTTCCTTCTTGTGATGCTGTCGTGAAACTGTCGTGTGCTTCAGCCAAAAGGGGTGGCCCGTTGGGTTGGAGTCGTCAGCCGCGGGGGCTGTGTCTTGGTCGGGTGTCAATAAAAAAAAAAAAGGGTGACGACGGTGGCTGGTCAGGAGGACAGGACGGGAATATCGATCGCGGTTCCGTTCTTGAATTATCGTCAAGTCGAAAACAGACGGGACTGGAGGACGGGACGGATGATGTGACTGGACTTGTCTGGAGTTCTTGCTGGAGTTGAACTGGAGCAACACAGCCCAGCCACTGCTTGAAAGTTGAAACAGCGGGCAACAGTGGATATTGTCATGGAGATGCCCTGTTTGGCGGATGGAGAGCACTGCCTTGCCTTGCCTTGGTTTTGACGGGATCCCTTGACGGCGGCCTCTTCTTCTCAAAACCTCACCACCAGGAGGAAATAACGACGACACCCCCAAACCAAAATCATTGGGCACAATTTCGTGTTTCAGAGCGTCGTTTGCTTGGGCGCTTGGTCGTGCATTCTGTGTCGTCCATTGCTTGTGATTTGGCTGTTCTTGGTTTTGCTTGGTCGGAGAATGTTCCACTGGCCGTTGACACAAGAAGAACTAAGGTAGAGGTATGTAGGTACGTACCCATGATTGGCGGGGTCATCGGAGCCAGCCGAGAGATGTAGTAGTGTTAGTGGAAGGACTGCCGTTGCGGCAAGGCAAGGTGCAGAAAGGCAGGATGCACTAACAGCTGCCAGGGACACCTGCATGGTCTGTGCATTTCAAGGCAGGGTCTCAATTTCTGTTTGCTTCGACTGCTGCCCAACATGATCACTCAACACCACCACCAACCAAGGGAAATATCTTGATATAACTCACAAGACTGTTGCAACACTCTTGTTGGGAGTCTTGTCAACTCGAGCTCACATCACCACCTATATAGTAAGCAGAATGAAGTACATCTCGTCCCATCGCCAGCACTCCCGTCGTGGCCAACCCAGGTCCAAGAAGACGCCCTCGCTCTTTCCTTGTCTTGCATTTCCCCTCATCACGGGCGGCGGATTTCCACCGTTCCTTCCTCGACTTCAGTTGTTCTCTGGAAAACTTGAACGGGATTGGCCTTCTCCCACAAGCTCCTTCCTGTTGTAGTGGTTCATCTACGCTCATCATGAGGTGGTTGCCCATTGCACGAAATTACCTACCCCTCCTTGCGTGTTCAGTTCCAAAGTCACAGTCGTGGCCAACCCAGCTCATCTCGGTTCGTCTTCCACCCGTCTTCATTCTGAGGTCTTCATGCTAGTGGATGAGATACCTGGTTTCTAAAGACCACCGCCCATTCTTCTCCTTGCCGTTTACCAGTGTCCATCGTCTTTCTCAGACATCATATAACCATGGCCGATAAGCATCCCCCAAGCAAGCATCATGTCTTCTTCCTGATCCACGATGCCACGAGGAAACATATCGGCAGTCTGTTTCTGGTATAACGACAAGTTTGCCTATCGAACTCTATGCCATATAATACAAGCGAATTCAAAAGACCCGGTGTACCTGTACCCAAAATCCCCAGCCAAACTCAAAAAAACATGCGCCGGCCAGTGCAATATGCATCTCCTTTCCATATCATACAGTCTATGTCGCCGCCCTCGTCTTTTGAACAATAATCGCCGCCAAATCCTTGACCGTCCCACTGCTCAACAACTCCAAAATCTGCAGATTGGCCCTCAACTCCTTCGCTATCCAGTTCCTCAGCTCAATGGCCGTCAAGGAATCCAGTCCGTAACTGGTAATGTTCCTCGTCGCATCCAGGTTCGCCACGTCAATCGTCAACACATCCGACAGCTTCTGCAGAATACCCTGACCCGCAATGGCAATGG